GCTGCTGTGAGCTGAGATACCACCATTGCACTCCAGCCTGGGTAACACTAAGACCTTGTCTCCCAAAAACAGAGACTTCGTCTTAGCAGGACATATAGAGGAAACTAGAAGATAGTGGAGCAATATCCTCAAGATTCTGAGGGGATATTTTTTCCAAACTAAAATTCTGTACCAGCTCTTAGGAGCTGGATTGTGTCCCTCCAGTGTTTCTGTGTTGAAGCCCAGTAACTCAGATAGGGCCATTGAAAGAAGCAGTTAAGTTAAAATGAGACTATAAGAGTTGGCTGTAATTCAATCTGGTGTCCTTTTAAGAAGAGGAAATTTGGACACAGGAAGGACCATGTGAGGACAGAGCAAGAAGACATCCATCTGCAAGTCAAGGAAAAATGCCTCAGAGGAAACCAAACTTGCTGACACCTTGCTCTTTCACTTCTAGCCTCCAAAACTATGAGCAATAAATTTCTGTTTTTTGAGCACCCTATCTGTAGCATTTTATATTGCAGCCCTAGCAGAATAACATACCAACCAGCCTATCAATGAAATATAGAGTAGAAAAAAGGATCTCACAAGATACTCTTCATGCATCTTTTCTCAGGAAGCTCCTAGAAGTTGTCCCTCACTAAAATGAAAGAATAAGGTAGAAATAAGAAAGTCATAGAATCCAGGAAATAAGGAGCCCCCACTACCATGCACGGCACCTAAAGAAAGGCCAGTCCAGGTACAGCAGGGTGAAGGCCCAGGAGACACAGCTTTGTCAAAACAGATGAACTCCATGTGATGCAGGCTGTGATTGAATGTATAGAGAAAGAAGCCAAACACAGTTATTGACACCAGGATAAATGGAAGGCTGTGCAGCAGAGGAAGACTAAATGCAGCTGTGACTCAAATTTACATGAATGTCACCACATAAATACTAAACGGTGTTCTACTCCAGGTATGACATGCAGTTGGTGGGGAGTCAGGTGCAGGGATGTGTTTTGAACATTGCAGAATCGACTTCTTCCTAGGGAAAAGTCAAGATAATTCCTCAGACCGACTAGCAACAAAAGCATGTGAAAAAAATATGTGCTGTTTTTAAAGTCTTGGAAAAAAGCAAGTCCTCTTTCTGTTGTTGGAAGAATAGCTTAGTAAAATGTTTCTGAGGGCTGGTTGGTCTCTATATGTTAAAAGCATTAAAAATGTGTACTCGCCGGGCACGGTGGCTCAAGCCTGTAATCCCAGCACTTTGGGAGGCCGAGGCGGGTGGATCACGAGGTCAAGAGATCGAGACCATCCTGGTCAACATGGTGAAACCCCGTCTCTACTAAAAATACAAAAAATTAGCTGGGCATGGTGGCACGTGCCTGTAATCCCAGCTACTCAGGAGGCTGAGGCAGGAGAATTGCCTGAACCCAGGAGGCGGAGGTTGCGGTGAGCCGAGATCGCGCCATTGCACTCCAGCCTGGGTAACAAGAGTGAAACTCTGCCTCAAAAAAAAAAAAAAAAATGTGTACACACTTTGACCCAGGAATTTGAACTCTTAAAAAAAAATCAGAGCTGTATGCAAACACATTAAGCTGCTTACCACAGCAATGTCCACTGGTAGAAAACTGGCTGTCTTACGTGATGGAATTCTTTTCTACAGAATTCAGCTCTGTAGCCTTGGGAGTATACTAGATAGGGAAGTTCATTGGCATGAGACTTCAGAATTAAGTGGGAAAACAGTTTCTATAAGCATGTACAGAAAAGTGACCTGATATGTTGTCTTTGGGTGGTGAACTTACAATCTTTTTTTTTTTTTTGGGGGCAGGGTCTTGCCCTGTTGCTTTGCCATCTGGGCTGGAGTGCAGTGGCATAATCATAGCTCACTACAGCCCTGGCTCAAACCATCCTCCCGTCTCAGCTTCCCAAGTAGCTGGGACCATAGGCACATATCACACCCAGCTATTTTTGGTAGAGATGGGGTCTCACTATGTTGCCCAGGCTGGTCTTGAACTCCTGGGTTCAAGCAGTCCTCCCACCTTGGCCTCCCAAAGTGCTGGGATTGCAGGTGTCAGCTGCTGTGCCTAGCCTGAGACATTTCTTATGAGTAATGTGGATGGTACATGAGTCCACAGAGTAAGGTATTTATTGTAAACCTCCAGGGAGTTTCTGAAAATAGTATCTTCTCTTCATACCTAGGATGAAGCTGGAGGCAGATTCGTCGCTTTCTCTGGAGAAGGACAGTCATTGCGTAAAAAGGGAAGAAAGCCCTAAGTGAGGACTGTTGGCTGATTGGAAAATAATAAAAGAATCAATTTGCAACATCTTGGCTTTTAGTTACTGGCACTGGCAGGGACGAGCCTCATCAGAGAATGCTGTTACTTAAGATTTATATAGAGTTACCTAAGAATTACCAAGTTTGACTTGGAAGTGGAGCAGCAGGACTTTGTAGTTCTATGCTTGATTCGGAGGAAAAAGAAGGAGCTGTCCCTGAGGGCCTATAGGCAGCTGCCTCCTTACCTCTTCATACTTTTGAACTTGAGGGGGACTCCCACTGCCTCGGTAGGAGCAATTCTGAGTCCCCAATTCTGTCAAAACCAATGGTGGTGATTGAATTGTCTAACATGAAGTGTTCTTTCTCTTTCTTCACTTTTCTTTTCCTAGGTCAGTTGCATAGGTGTCAGTCTTTGGCCTAAAAAAGGGTTTAAATAGACATGTGTTCTATAAATAGTGGCTGTGCCACTACTGTGACTTCAATTTAAGTATTTGACAAAGAATGTTTCTATTTTTATTTTACATATTTTTTTTTCAAAAGCACCACTTCTCAGCTGGGCGCAGTGGCTCAAGCCTGTAATCCCAGCACTTTGGGAGGCCGAGGCGGGTGGATCACGAGGTCAAGAGATCGAGACCATCCTGGTCAACATGGTGAAAC